TTGAATATTACAATAAGTTCCGGCTTCTCATCGTTTGTACCCGAGAATTTCGTTTCTATTATCATTATACATACGCTAATTAAAAAGTTACAATAAGTTTCTCGGCTTCTCTTCGTTTGTACCCGTTTGTACCGTGGATATTTTAGTTTGTATGTCATTATACACGTGCTAATTGATTTTAACGAATAAGTTCTCAAGCTTCTCATCGTTTGTACACGTTTGTACCGCCGAGAATTTCGTTTCTATTATCATTATACATAACGCTAATTGAATGTTACAATAAGTTACTCAGGCTTCTCTTTCGTTTGTACCCGTTTTGTACCGTGGAGAATTTAGTTTGTATGATCATTATTACACGTGCTATCTGATTTTTACGATAAGTTCTCAGCTTCTCAATCGTTTGTACCCCGTTTGTACCGCCGAGAATTTCGTTTCTATTATCATTATCCATACGCTAATTGAACTTTCCAATAAGTTCTCGGCTTCTCATCCGTTTGTACCCCGTTTGTACCAGAAGCCGAGAATTTCGTTTCTATTATCATTATTCATACGCTTATTGAATTTTCCAATAAGTTCTTACTTCTCTCATCGTTTGTACCCGTTTTGTATTACCCCCCGAGAATTTCGTTTCTGTTATCATTATACATACGCTCATTGAATGTACAATAAGGTTCTCGTCTTCTCATCGTTTGTACCCGTTTGTACCGTGAAGAATCTGGTTTAGTATCATCATAATACACGTTCTAAGTGGATTTTTACGATAAGTTCTCAGCTTCTTATCGTTTGTACCCGTTTGTACCGCCGAGAATTGTCGTTTTTTTCATTATTATACATGCGATTAATTGAATTTTTCAATAAGTTCTCGGCTTCTCAACCGTTTGTACCGACGATAATTTGGTTTGTACCATCATTAATAAACATCCGCTAATTGAATGTTACAATAAGTTTCTCGGCTTCTCTTCGTTTGTACCCCTTTTAGTTACCGTGGAGAATTTAGTTTGTATGGGGGGGTATTCAAATTTTTTAATACACGTGCTAATTGCTTTTTACGATAAGTTCTCAGCTTCTCATCGTTTGTACCCGTTTAATCGACGAGAATTTTGATTTGTATTCATCATTATACATACGCTAATTGAATGTTACAATAAGTTCTAGCTTCCTCATCGTTTGTACCCGTTTGTACCGCCGAGAATTACAGTTTCTATTATCATTATTCAGACGCTAGTTGAATAGTACCTAAGTTGTCAGCTTCCTCTTCGTTGTTACCCGTTTTGTACCGTGGAGAATTTGGTTTCATCATCGATATACACGTGATAATTTGTTTTTACTAATAAGTTCTCAGCTTCTCCTCATCGTTTGTACCCCCGAGAATTTCGTTTCTATTATCATTATTCATACGCTAATTGAATATTACAATACGTTCTCGACTTCTCATCGTTTGTACCCGTTTGTACCGTGGATAATTTGGTTTGTATCATCATTATACACGTGCTAATTGGTTTTTAACGATAAGTTCTCAGCATATGATCGTTTGTACCCTGTTGTACCGGCCGAGAATTTCGTTTCTTTCTTTCATTATTAATCATGCGATCATTGAATTTTTACAATAATTTCTCGGCTTCTCACCGTTTGTACCGTTTGTACCCCGAGAATTTGGTTCTGTGCATCATTATACATACGCTAAATTGAATGTGACAATAATTTCTCGGGGGTCTTCTCTTCGTTTTTGGTACCCCTTTGTACCGTTGGAGAATTGTTTTTGTTTTTGTTGGGCATCATCATAATACACGTGCTAATTGATTTTTACGATAAGTTCTCAGCTTCTCATCGTTTGTACCCCCCGAGAATTTCGTTTTTAATTATCAAAATTATTCATAACGCTAATTGAATATTACAATACGTTTTTCTTCTCTCCTCTCGGCTCTCTTCATCGTTTTGTACCCGTTTGTACCGTGGAGAAATTTGGTTTGTAGTCATCAGTTATTACACGTGCTTATTGATTTTTAACGATAAGGTGTCTCAGCTTCTCTTCGTTTGTACCCGGTTTGTAACCGCCGAGAATTTCCTTTCTATTATCATTATTCCATACGCTAATTGAATATTACATAAGTTCTCAGCTTCCTCATCTTTGTACCCGTTTGTACCGCCGAGAATTTCGTTTCTTTCATCATTATACATGCTAATTGAATTTTACAATAAGTTCTCGGCTTCTCACCGTTTGTACCGACGAGAATTTGGTTTGTATCATCATTATACATACGCTAATTGAATGTTACAATAAGTTCTCGGCTTCTCTTCGTTTATACCCGTTTGTACCGTGGAGAATTTAGTTTGTATCATCATTATACACGTGCTAATTGATTTTTACGATAAGTTCTCAGCTTCTCCACCGTTTGTACCCGTTTGTACCCGAGAATTTCGTTTCTATTATCATTATACATACGCTAACTGAACGTTACAATAAGTTCTCGGCTTGTCATTGTTTGTACCCGTTTATACCGCAGAGATTTTTTGTAGGAAAAAAAAAATTATGTACATATATTTATAAACATGATATTTTTTTATTTATGTATACTTTTTCAGTTCTAATAATCGTATAATCCTTTACAAACGATATACTTCCAGTTGGCATCAACAAACATGTCGTATTTTTAGATTGGCTGTGAACGATACATATTTTGTCACCCCTATATTTCTCACCCCTTAGAGGTACAAAACGATTTTAAAGAGCGGTACAATCCAGTACAAACGATATGCTTCCAATTGGCATCAACAAAAATGTCGTATTTTTAGGTTGGCTGTGAACCATACTTATTTTTGCACCCCTATATTTCTCACCCCTTTGAGGTACAAACGATTTTAAGGGCGGTACAATCCAGTACAAACGATATGCTTCCAATTGGCATCAACAAAAACGTCATATTTTTAGGTTGGCTGTGAACCATATATATATTCGAACCCCCATATTGCTCACCCCTTTGAGGTACAAACAATTTAAAAAGCGGTACAATCCGGTACAAACGTAGTACAATCGAATAAAATTGATAAAAACTAATTATTGTTTAGTCAGTTTCTAACTTCACATAGGTTAATGATCAGACCACAATACGTCATACTTAACATATACATTTAAAATTGAAGATACAGCGGATTTAGTGGTCACACAGTGATCAAGCCACCTTCTCGACCCGTTGGCCTCACTAACAAAAGTGTAAGTTCCAGACCTAACACCTAAAAGCTGTACATCCGCACACGCCCATTCTTGTTCATCACAAAAACACATTAACTCATCATAAAACCTATTATTTGGATGCGCATTAAAGTCACCAAGAATGTAAACACATTCGATATTCATATTATTAATAATAGCACTCACCGAACTGAGGCAATCCGTGAATTCCGTAAGGTTTATCATTTTATCCGTAGGCATATACACACTAAACACTAAAATAGACCTATCGCTCAACACTATTTTTATGGCACATATTCGTGGGTTTTCACAATCCACCACAGACACATTAGGAAATACACTTTTATTCCACAACAGCGCTACACCTCCATAAGGACGGCCGTACACGACGCCAGCCGCCGTATCAATAGCAGAAGTGCCCGTGCTGCCGAAACGCCCGTCAATCCCGCTAAGAAACTGAATATCGTGTGGAAATAACCATGTTTCCTGTAAGGCTATTATGTCCGCCAACTGACACAGGTGCCTCACATTGTCTATTGAGCGTTTTATACTTTTACAATTGAAACTTACTAAGTTACACGGGAGACTATTATCCATTGCAAAAATTAAAGCAACAAATTAAATTATTTTTCACTAGCGACTCACCCTCGCTTTGTTTGGGTTCATCCCCATTTTAACCTCCTTAAGGGATGATTTCTGGGACAAAAAAATATCTTTTGTTCTTCCCAGGGTCTCAAACTAACTTCTTACCTAATTTCATCTAAATCAGTTCAGTAGATCCAGAGATTGTCCCCTAGAATGTCACAAACTCACAAATTTTACCTCTTTATAATATTATTTATATTAGTATAGATTAATTTTACCTGCATTTATAAGAAAGATTATTTATTTAAAACAAAACTGTTCTTGATTTGAATATAATAATTAGCAGAAAATAAAAAAAGTTGAAAATTAAAGTTAAACAGATTTACTATAAATAAGTAGGGAACGCTCGGTGGGCGAGTCCGACTCGCACTTGTCCGTAATTTTTAGATCAAAATTTCCATGTCGGAAGCGTTCAAAGTCAAACCAATACCTAACGAGTAGTGCGTTCGTTTGTAGTGTTTACTCCGTGTGCACGTCATTAATGTTTTTATGCGGCATTGCTACCGCGACGGAACATCTATACTACAATAAATAAAACTGTAGACGTAGAGGACAAATCCAGATTTTTTTCAAATTTTTTGTTTCTCTGTCTGTTTGTCTGTTTGTACAGGCTAATCTCCGAATCTATTGGACCGATTTAAATGAAATATCATATCCCCGAGCAACATCTTAGATACTTTTCATCCCGGAAAATTAAAGAGTTCCCGTGTGATAATAATAATAATAATAATAATAAGCCTTTATTCGCCAAGATAACAACACATAGGAAAAGTTTTATATAATTTTTACGTATTACAGTTAAATAAAATTACATACGAAATTACAAATACATAGAATAATACTTATGAATCATAGCTATTATTGACATAATAAAATGGAAATGTTTTTTTTTTTACAAAACATTCCTTTTATAAAAACTATTAATTATTATTTATTTATCTTTTTTTAATTTGTTTTTTTTTTTGTTTTTTTTTTTAAATCTATATAAGCATATCATCATTATTCGTATTTTTTTTTGTTTTTTTTTTTTTTTAGTGATGTATTTGTGATTAATAATTATATATTATTATTATCCATCTTGGGAACCCATTTTCGGGTATAGGCCTCCTCCATCCGCTTCCATTCTTGTCTGTCCTTCGCGATTCTAGTCCAGGTGGCGCCGGCTACAGCTTCGATGTCGTCTCTCCAGCGCGCGCGCGGTCGGCCGCGGCCCCGGCGTTGCTCGCGCGGCCACCAATGTAGCACTCGCTCGCTCCACCGGCCGTCGGTCGCGCGGGCAGCATGTCCAGCCCATCGCCATTTGAGTCTACAGGCTTCCTCAGCTGCATCTGTCACTTTTGTTCTTTTTCTTATTTCCGACTGACGCTGTCGATCTCTGAGATGAATTCCGAGTATGCTTCTTTCAGCTGCCCTTTGGAAAATTTGTAGCTTATGGATTAGAGTTTTTGTTAGTGCCCATGTTTGGCAGCCGTAAAGTAGTGTTGGTAAAATTATTGAGTCCATGGCTTTCTTTTTCAGTGCTAGTGGTAGTTTTGATTTAAAGATGTATTTTAAAGACCAGTACTTTCTCCACGCCAGTTTTATGCGTCGTTCTACTTCTTTTTTTGTATTGTCAGTAAATGATATACTTTGACCCAGGTAAACATATTCTTTTACGTATTTAATATAATTTGATTCGATCATAGTGTGGATCTCATTTGCGTTAGTCATTATACAAGTTTTGTTCATGTTCATTTTCAACCCGCATTTTATGCTTTCTTCGTTGAGCGTTTGGAGCATGTGTGAGAGGTCATTATGGTTGTCGCTTAAGATAACTATGTCGTCGGCAAACCTAAGATGATTCAGGTACTCACCATTTATTTTTATTCCCATGCCATCCCAACTTAGTTTTGAGAATATATATTCTAGTAGAGCGGTAAATAGGTTTGGTGAGATAGGGTCTCCTTGCCTCACTCCCCTCCTTACTTTGAAGGTCTCGCCTACTTGATCGAGTCTTATTTGAGCTGTACTTCTTTTATATATTTCCTTCAGGATCGCTATGTATTTATCTTCTATATTGTTGAACTCGAGAGCTTTCCAGAGTGATTCATGCGATATAGAGTCGAATGCTTTGGCGTAATCTATAAATGCAATGTAGAGTGATATTTTATATTCGGTAGACCGTTCAATTATTTGGTTTAGAGTGAAAATATGATCAACTGTGCTATAATTTTTTCTGAATCCTGCTTGCTCTTTCGGTTGGTTGAAATCTAGAGTTGTTTTGATTCTTCGCAATAGTATGTTGGTGAATAATTTATATAAGCTTTGTAGTAGGCTTATAGGTCGATAGTTGCCTATATCTAGAGGATCTCCTTTTTTATATAACAGCGTGATTATAGAATTATCCCACTCTTCAGGTATCTTATTTTGTTCCATAATTTCGTTAAAGAGATTTGTGAGTATAGGGGCTATAGACTCAGATAAGGCTTTTAATATATCGTTTGTTATTCCATCTTGACCTGGGCTCTTCGACGACTTTAAGGATTCTATACCTGTTCTTATTTCACTTTGAGTTAAAGCCGGGATATTTTCTATATATTCTTTGTGACCGATGTTGTTGTCGATGCAAGTTGGGCTTATGTCAGAGTTTTTGTAGAGGTTTTCATAGTACATCGTCGCTAGTTTAAGTAATCCTGTTCTTTTACTAATTTTGTCTCCTGTGGATGCTTTCAGTGAGGTAATCCAGTCTCTATGTTTCGACAAACGTTTTTCTGACCGTTTGACTGAGCCTCTATCTTTAAGTTCTTCTTCAATGATTTTATACTTTAGTTGATATTTTTTCTTTTTTATTATTTCTTTTATTTTATGATAGAGTTTTGTTAATCTTTTCCTTTCTTCCTTCGATCTGTGCTTCTTAGATTTTAAGTATAATTTTTCCTGAATTAGTTCTCTTACATAGTCATTAAATATAATTTCATTTTCTGATTTTTCCTTTAGTTTTGGTAGTTGGTTGATAATTTCTTTAATTTGTAACGTTAAATCTGTATATTTTTGTTCAGTGTTTTTACCTTCCGTACTATAACTTTCCCGTATTTCAGAAAATTTGCGTTTGATCGTTTCTTTTTCTATGCAGGTGAGCTGAACTTTCTTATGGCCAAATGATTTTCTGTCCTTCTTCACATTGTACTTTAAATTATACACTATTCTTAACAGTCTATGGTCTGTGCTAAAAGTTGTATCAATAGTTTGAATATTGTTTATTTTTCTCATATCCCTTGTTATGACATAGTCAATTTCGTTGCGTACAGCCCCGTCAGGTGATACCCAAGTCCACCTTTTTTTCAAATTCTTCTTAAAGAATGTGTTAGCTATGTAGAGCTGATGTTCGAGGCAGAACTGTATTAAGATTTCACCCCGGTTATTTCTTCTACCATAGCCCCATTTTCCTGTAGTTTTTCCCGTCGTCTGACGTAGTTTGTCCTATTTTTGCGTTAAAATCTCCTAGGATTATGGTGTTTTTATTTGACTTCCGTAGAGCTGTATCGAGATTTTTGTAGAATTTATCGAGATCTTCCTCGGTTGATTTTTCTGTCGGTGAGTATGCTTGTATTAAAGAGAGACGTTCATTTCCAAATTTAAAGTCTAGTTTAGCAACTCTATCGGAGATGGGCGAAAATTCATCTATATTGGATTTTAAGTGTTTTTTTACCATAAAGCCAACGCCATTTAAGCCTGCCTTTTCTCCTTTGAACATCATTATGTAGTCTTCATACTCTATTATTTTGGTTCCTACTAATTTTATTTCTGACAAGCCGAGTATATCCCATTTTATGTTTTCAAGAGCATATTCAAGTTCATTTTTTCTACCTTCAGCAACAAGAGAGCGTATATTATACGTTCCAATATGTAAGTGTTTCATTTGGATGGAGGGTGGTGGTCGACTGCTCCCACGGGGACCGGCCGTATTGGGAGAGTTATTTGTTTTTTGTGATATAATATTTTTGTTGCTTGTAGTTGCGTGGAGAGGGGCCTGTTTTAATTGCTAATTTTGTGCTAAATTTGAAGTAGATGGAGATACTAAATATGACTCTAATGTTTTATTCTTTTTTGCTGTATTTAATATATTTCTTTTTGGTGTTTTTTCAGTTTCCGGGGAAAAAATAGGTTTTCTTTTATTAGTGTTTGTGTGGTTGTATTCCTTAGTAAATAAATTATTTTCCTGTTTGGTATATAACGTAACTATTTTGTCTCTTCTCATTACTATTTTTTCACCCTTTTGTTTTCTACTTCTGTATTCTTCCTGTAGCTCTTTCCTTCTTTGTAAAACTTTTTGAGTGTAGTCTTCTTTTATATAAAGTCCTCTTTCCTTTAAATATTTACTATTTCTTAATATGTCTATTTTAAGCCCCATGGTGTTTGTTGTTATTAGAACCGGTCTAATTTTCCCATCTTTTTTTACTCCAATTCTCTTAACATATTCAATATCTCTTTTTTCACAAGGAATTTTCATACTAGTGTTAATAATTGAAATAATTTTTTCTTCTAGCTCTTTATATTGTTTTTCTTTTTCTTCAAGACCAAAAATTATTACATTTCTTCGTTTTAATTGATTTTCCATTTTGTCTATAATAGTTTTTTGCTCCTCAATCACTTTCTCCAGGCCCTGGGTTTTCCTTTCTAAATTTTCAATTTTTTTATTTATGTTTGAATTAATTTCTTCAACTATTGCTTCTTTTATATTTGTTATTTCAATTTTTTGTATTTTAATATCATCTTGAATAGTTTTTAATACTTTCATAATTTCTTCCATAGTTATTAATTGAAATATAAGTGTAAATAAAATAAATCAAAAGTTCACCAATAACTACTAAGGCCCTCTAGTGGGTGTTGTAGCTCAGTACGTTGTGGTTGAAGTAGCTAAGTGATGTTGCTTGATCGATATTCACAGTAGTAGTGTTAACGTGTTACGATAGATGGCGTTGCATTGTAAATATATTATTTTATATAGAAATAACTAGTTGAATTGTGTTTGAACGTTTGATGCAAGTACCTTATAAGTTATTTCTGTGAATGCCCTCAATGTATCTATAAACTTTTGTTAATTATTATTTTATTTTCATTAGGTAATTATTCTGGAACTTGTATCTAAATTGTGAAATATGTAGTTATTGATTTTACTTGCCAGGTAATTCTTCTATAATTTCTTTTGAGATCCTTTTCGTTCCATTGTGTATAGCTGAATTTCCTTATGAATAGCACAAACACGATTTTAAGCACTAACTATATTTTTATTAGTTTTTAACCACTGCTTTCAATTGTACTCATTCCTTGTTAACTTATTTTGACTTGAAACTGTAATTCACAGCACATATCTGGTTAGATTTTATATATTTAGAAAAATAATACGGAGCTTATTCTTAACGTTAGCACAGTTGCGCCCTCTCTCCCTAGTAATAATATAGATAATACATCAGAATAACAGATGGGTTACTTTTTATCCCGGAAAAATGAACGGTTCCCGTGGGAAAGAACTGTTTGTGCTTTTCTAGAGGCGAACCCGAGCGAAGCGAGGGCGAGCCGCTAGTGTACAAATATAAATTAATGCAAAATATAGTAAAATGCTTAACATTTTAAGGTGACGCAACTTGCTTTATAATGTCACATAGGATGTTGAAGATGTAGATACTAAGGTAAGTAGTAGGTAGGTACCTTAGTTAAATCAAAAGCTTAAGTTTGTATAAAATCATTCATTAAGCCAAGTGAAATTTCCGGAGATATACGAGTATAAAAATGTATGTTTGCCTAATAAATAAATATAATAAATAAATACTTATATTTATTTTTTAGGCAAACATACATTTATACTCGTATATCACTGTAAAAATTTTAACCATGCATTATTCACTTGACTGAATGAATGATTTTGTAGTCTTTTGTTCAAATATACTTAGTTTCACGTTATATGCAAAATTGTGTTTGGTACAAGAACTAAAAATACGAGCAAAACCATTGACATAATTTAGTATGTATATATTATAAGGTGTCATATTGTAAAGTGCCAATTATATATTACCTTTTAGTGAAAGGTGGCTTTTTAACTAGACTAAACTACCTGTTATTACTGTCTACACCTATGTGGTCGGTCATTAAGAATTAGTGCTTAAGTAAAATTGACTTTTGATTAGTTTCCATTTACCTAATATAATGTAATTGTCGGGTGCGAATTGATGTATATAAAATTGGCTCTGTAAATGCTACAAGGAATGCTCATGAATAAATTTCATAGTAAATTGTAAAATATTAAAATAATAAGAATATTTTCATACCCATATGCTTTGGCTTATGGCTGGAGTTATAGAAAAAAAAATGCACTATTATTATGTTAAATCGATACTTTAGGTATGCATATGACAACATTATTTTTAAAATTAAAAGAAATTGTATTTTTGAATAGTTGTGACGCGGGCTGTTTTTTTTTTTAAATATTTTGTGAAAATTATTGCATTTTTTTTGTTTATAAATTTAAAGCCTAAATGGTCGGAAAGGCAATGAAAATTGACTGTTTTGGTGTTTGACCATTAACTTTCACTTCCACTGTTCTTCATCCAGTTCTTCTCAAGACTCATGCTTTTTCTTTTCGAACTAGTGCAAGACTGATGACGTTCAGAAAAAAATGTAACAAGTTTGTATTTGAATCTAGTTGAATAAATAGCCATAAGAAACATCGTAACAGCTTAAGAATTACTTTTAATATTATATTATCATCTGTGTTCGGACTTCGGCATTAATGATATCAGCATTTCACAGTAGCATTAAGAGTATAGTTATATTCACTTTTTGTACTAGATATTTCGATATTTTTATATATCCATATAAATTTCCGTTTGTGTGTTCGTAATTCTTCTCATCCTTATACCAATTTTGGTGATTTTATGTGTAAGTAGGTACTTACGGTGTCTCTTGGATGGTTCTTAGCTATAGTTAGATACCCTAGAACCTAAGGTAACCTAAGAATCTGGAATATCTAAGGCATATAGATGGCGCTCATATATGTAGATGGCGCTGTTTTCGAGATTCAGAATTTTCCTATAGTATTTTTTTTTATATTTTGATTTGGATTTTTTTTTGATTTCTCAATACAATTAACCCCAAATGTTCAGCCTTCAAACGCTAAGGCAGGGCTACGTCTGTCGTATTCTACTTTTATAAACATTACAAGCGACTCACTCTCGCTTCGCTTGGGTTCGTCCCTAGCTTGATTCCCCAATCCCCATACCAACATTCATAGCCATTTTCAACCCCTTAAGTGATATTTTCCGGGATAAAAAGTATCCTCTGTCCTTCCCAGGGTCTCAAACTATCTTCTTACCAAATTTCATCTAAATCGGTTCAGTAGATTCAGAGATTACCCCCGACAACGTCACAAACTCACAATCTTTACTTCTTTATAATATTAGTATAGATACCTATAATATTAAACATTATATAATATGTACATACTAAAAGTTACTCTTTTGGTCTGCGACTTTGTATGTAGCCAGCTACGAGCTTCTATATATTTGCTGGTACGAAATCTGTTCTTCACTAATAATCGAGCGAAGCTAGGATAACGCTAGTATGTAAAAAGCACAAATAATTAAAAAAAAACTTCTTTTCCAACGTCATTTAAAAACATACAAATAAAATGGACATTAAACCGCTATTCTGAAATATCAATCACATAATTTTAAAGTCCGATATCTATAAAATAGAGCATTTAACGCCATAATGTTAGCGATAAGCACAACTAGGTACAAAGCATCATGTAGATGGCTGGCATGATACCACAATAATGGCAACCTAGTTGAAATAATAAACAACGTTTTTCAATATATTTAATACGTATATTGTTATGAAATGTTATCGTTGGAAATTATGGTCTGATTAAATGTATAGGAGGTACGTGTTTTATGTAATGGTGCCTTATTACGTAGTTTGGTATACAATGATTTAAATGGTAATATTATATAATTTTATTTTTGTTAGTCTATAGTAATATTAAATGGGTATGGTATTGGGAACGAAATGATCGCCTCCAGGCTACTCCAACTTTATAGAAATATTGTAATTTATAACTTAACTTTATAAAAAAGATAGCCGTTATAAGTCCCGTTGAGTTTCTTTCGCCAGTTCTTCTCAGGTCTGAGGTTTCTTCTTTTCGAACTGGCACTCGTACGTTCAGTAAAAAAATGTAATAATTTACTGTTGAGTATAATATTTTGAGTTTCAATTTGAATTTGAATGAGCAATTCGTGTATATATGTACCTACCTTAGTACCTACATATATAATTTATATCGTGTATCTTGGAAACGTCTCTAACGATTTGGATCCAATTTTGTATTTGGATACCTAAGGTTTTTCTTTTTAAGTTTTTCTAGCTAGGTAAGTCTCTTAATACTATCAGAGAGTAGAGAACGGAGAGAAAATATTTTTTTTCTCTTTACACGCTTAAGGAAAAAAAAGGTACTTTTTAATAGACCGACTTCAAAAGAAGATGTATGTACTTTATACGTTTGAAGACTTATTTGTGTTATGTTTGATATATAAATACATATTTTTTATGAATTAGTTGGTCTCATTTACCTTCATAAAAAAATCTTAGAATGGGCAATTATATTTCTAGTGATTTTCATTTATTACGTAATTAGTAAGTACTTACCTAATAAAAAATATACATAGATAGATACAGAAATCAAATTTAATACATCTTAGTGGTGGTTACTAGTAGGTACCTGGCTAGATAAGTCACAAGTACCTAGTGGGTAAATAAGCAGAAAAAGCCAATAGCGTAAATGTTTTGTTATATTGATAACCATAGAATTAGATAGAGGGGCAGGGGAATACCCCAAGCTACTTGGATGAAGATGACAGAATCCAGAGGGGCATCAAATGCCTCGGCTTAACGAGGAGAACGCGAACACACAATCTACGTGGCGTCACATAATAAGGATAGCTGACCCCGCGTAACGGGATAAGACGAGGACAAATAAGAAGATAGCCGTAGAATTACGTTTGATTCGATCTCGATTTTAGACGCCTGTAGTGGTATTCCGTAAAAATTCATTGCGGATTCAGCAGTCGAGTTTTATAAAAAAACACATTTGAAGCAATATCATTTAAACGAAAGCCTTTATCAACAAATATTTAATAGCTATTTAAATATGTTTATTATTTAAATATGTTTGTTCTGATAAAACTTCATGAAAACAAAATTGTAAATGTTTTTATTTGTAGTTAATTTTCGAGTAATTCTAATTATTTATTTTTAATTTGTAGGATTTTTCGTACTTAAGCTGAAAAAATATTTTTTTTTTAATAAATATCTTACTTTTATTTGCTTTGATTTTAAAATATAAAAGAAGACGAAAGGAATAGGAGAAGTCTTCTTCAATCACTCTATAATATATGAGTAATAGTAAGAGATATCAGAGTTGTAAGTTATTGCTCTAAAGACGCCTTTTACTTGTACCTAGTGATTGAAATGTGGCTATTTAATATAAGTGTAAAATAGACTCATATTTTACAGAATAAATAAATAAATAAATAAATGAACTTGTTAGCTCAGTCGTAGCAGACAGTACCTATAAGGAACTAATTTGCTAAGTCATATTGGTATTGTAGCAATTTTCCTCACTGTTAACAGGTATTAGACTCTTATTATACACACGAAAAAAAATTGTATGTATGTGTACAATATACATATACATATGTATCTACCTACAACAATTTGACGACACGTTTGGCTTAGTTTGTAGTGACCCTACTTGCT